GAGCATGCACACAGTTTGCTTTAGGCCACCATGAATAGCTCACGTTGTAAATGACAAAGAGCCAGTATATTATACTGTAGCTTCCACTCACTGTGACAGGATGGCTCGTAGGAGGTGATTACACTCTGCTTCATTTGGTTCCAGTTCAGATTAAGGGACAACACATGGAAAGACAGAAACTGGAAACAAATGTTTGAAAAATATTTACTGTTAGAAAACATTCAGTGAAAGCAAAATCGATTTTTCTGTTTGGCAAATTTCAAATCTGAGTCTCCAAAAGCCAGTCAGACTATAGAGTTGGTATAAACAGAGAGAGGAGATGAAGCTTCTTTTAGACAGAGGAAGGAAAATATTTAGATTCACTTAAAAGGATAATTCTCTTTTTTTAGCACTTTCCACTTTCGCTTTCATGCCATTAAGTTCGAATTAGCTTTAATTTCACTTAAAATACACGAACGCAGAAAAGTACGAGTGTTATTCTGGCAAAAGATAAAACCTAAAATGTTGCATTTTGAAAGGTCCCTGCTCACTCACCCCTCTGTCTCTTAACTGCTGTATATGTGCTGGATTATTTGGACTACATTGCATTGTACAGTTAGACTATGATTGTATCTGTGGAGCTTAAAAACAATGACATTTGTTCACACACTCACAGTGGAGTCATTTTCACTGCTTTAGGGCTGATCTGGAGACATTAACTGGCTCTAGGTGACAGAAAGCGCTTTAAGGACTGAGAGAAACAGTATTAATCCCTTTTTGGTGCACATTATGACAGCTGGGATTCATGTATTGTGTATATTATGTGTTGAGGTTTTCTCTTTGTGACTGAGGTCCTTACTGGAGGTGAGATTTGTATTGAGCGTGCAGTGCAGAGTGATCAGACACATATTTGCTGTTCCACAAACGGGATGTTAGTGATGATGGGCGTAGGTGCCACCGGCCGGTAGTCATTGAGGCAGGACACAGTGGACTTCTTTGGCACTGGGATGATTTTTGTGGTTTTGAGGCATGCAGGTACCACAGCTGAGCTCAGTGATGTGTTTAGGATGTCGGTGAAGATGCCTGCGAGCTGGTCAGCACACTCCCGAAGCACCTGGCCAGGTATGTTGTCAGGTCCTGCAGCCTTTCGCGGGTTTACTCTGCGAAGTGTCATCCTGACATCTGCTGTGGACAGACAGAGTACTTGGTCATTGGGGGAGGGGGTATCTTCCTTGCTGGCTCTTTGTTTTCTGCCTCAAAAGGTGCAAAGAAGTCATTTAGTTGGTCTGGCAGAGAGGGATCACTGCTGCATGCTGGAGGTGTTGGCTTGTAGCTCGTGATTGTTTGGATCCCCTGCCACATGCGCAGAGTGTCCTTTGTACTTGTGAAATGTGTGTTGATCTTATCTGCATACTGCCATTTTGCCTCTTTGATGGCCTGTGATAGGTCTACTCTGGCTGTAGTGTAAGCTTCTCTATTTTTTGTTACAGATGCAGCATGCAGGTTGAAAGAGATAGGTGCATCTAAAGGCTCACATCACAAATAAATATCACATTTACTGCCATGTAGGAAGCAAATGCCGAGGAACCGAGATAAGTTAAAGATGGAGTTTTTCATCCATTACAACATGTTTTGTTCCAGAGACATTTCAAACCAACCAAATCTATTGGTAGTAATAGGTAATAATCCAGACTGATTTAAGTTGAAAACCTTAAGCAGCCTGAAAAATTGTGACAACTGATGTTGCCATTTAAAGTACTGTTAAATAGCAAGCTAACAGTGGCTTCTGTCATCTGTATCCCAGCAGTCAGTGCGAAGCAGTAAACAGAACAGGGCAGCTACATCATGTAAGAATTTGAGAGATGAGAATGGAAACTTTAATATTGTATAATGTAGATGTACTGCTGTTTGTATACTGTGTCCTGTACAGGAATTCACTTTATTTGACTAGAACTGACAATTGTTAAGCTGTGCCAATGCCATTTTATTTCAACAACTTAATGATTCATATGAATTCTGAGACTGCAGTATCGATTTCAAGAAGAATAACTTTTAATGCGCTTCCAGGCTTTAATATCACCTAGCATCTGGTCAATGTGTACCTTTGGACAGCTAAATTAAATTTCCACAGGTGGCAACATTGCTCAATTCTCTGTGTTCAGCTCTCTTCCCTGTAACTAATTCAATAATACCCACTCTATTCTCCAGATTAAGTAAAGTTATATCTTACACCTAAGATGTAAAAAAAATAAATGATAAAGAAAGTTTTCACACAATTTTAAGAATAAATGGTAAATGGTCTGTATTTGTATAGTGCTTTACTAGTCCCTAAGGACCCCAAAGCGCTTTACACAACCAGTCATCCACCCATTCACACACTGGTGATGGCAGCTACATTGCAGCCACAGCCACCCTGGGGCGCACTGACAGAGGCGAGGCTGCCGGACACTGGCACCACCGGGCCCTCTGACCACCACCAGTAGGCAACGGGTGAAGTGTCTTGCCCATTACACAACGACCGAGACTGTCCGAGCCGGGGCTCGAACCCACAACCTTACAATTACAAGGCAAACTCCCAACTCTTGAGCCACGATCGCCCCATAAGAATAAGAATAACTTTATTGATTCCACAGGGAAATTCATGTGTGACCTGGGTCATTTGTTATTTTTATGAGAGTTGAAAAGCCTGATGGTTGTGTTGGCTGCGAAGGACTTTCTGTCCATCTCACAAAGAAGAGAAAGAAGGTTTTTATGATATATATCCAGAAGCAAGAAAACATATAATACAAATGTGTACAAGTAATTACAATAAAAGAAATGTCCATATATGTAAAGCATGTAATAAAATAAAATTCAAGTAAATATAATTTACAACTCTGCATTGGGTACAGCAAGACGCCGTGTTCTGTGGTTTTGACTACTCTTTCACTCACATCTTTCTTCCTGCTCTATCAAACAAAATCAAGGGCTCATAGTGACCACATTTGGATAATGGGGGATTTCTCCATAGTCATGCCACCATTCCCCAACTGCCTGAGCCCCAGTAAGCAGCCTAAAAACCAGTAAAGTCTGTCCTCTTTTGTTCACTCAATAGTACTTTTATCCACACGTGAGGAAACAGTAAGAAAAGCCTCTTGGCCTGCAGGACTTAACTGTGAACCCATTCTGCTCAATAAGTATTGCAAATATTTGGAGTACTTAAACATATTTAAAGTCCTTCACCTTTAAGTCCATGTGGTTTAGGGAAATCACTGGCAGGAAGCTCACTCACATTTTAAATGCTTTAAGCTGACAATAGTCTGCTGTTATCCTGCTGTAAGTAATTATGCGCAAAGTTTATTATTGACTAGAAGACCTCACTTAAGTAGATAGTAGATAATTAAGTTTGAAAATATATATTTTTAGAGACATATTGTATAATTTAAAACAAATGTGTGAATTCGGAGAAATTTGAAGTATCCAGATGAGGTGCTGTTGTGTAACACCACAAGCTAAAACAGCTGTTTTTAATTCTAAACTTGGCTGTTTAATAATCAATCGTTATTGATCATAAAGTCACTGCGTTACAAAAACAATCATGTGAGCAACAAAAATCTTTGCACAGGCAAACATATAATCATCATGTGGTACCTATTAATGAATGTCCAGACAAATAACACAGAAAAATGAGATAATAAATAAATATAATTTCCTTGGAACCAATCCATTAAATATAACGGTGCTTTGTCTTAAAGGGGCTAATGTTGCAATACCTTTAACTGTAAGAGAATCATTATTAAAAACATCCTATACTGTATGAGCGTGCCTTGGGACATAGATCACAATTTGGAGTCTAAAGCATCATTAAATAGTCAGGAATTTATATGTTTGGGCATCATGGCAGTGCAGTGGTTAGCACGGTTCCCTCTGGAGCACTCCTGCAGTTTGTCTCTCCATGCCCTTGTGGGCTTTTTTTGGATACCCAAGCTTTCTCCCAAAGTCCTAATACAAGCATTTTAGGTTAACTTGTACTTCAAAGCTAGAGCCTCCAGCTGTGCCACTGACCCTGAGTTGGATAAGAAGAAGAAAGTGGATAGATGGATGTTTTGATGATTTAAATATATTTCTTCAAATCACCTCCCAGTACAGTAGTTTTGATGACAACCCATCTTAAGCAATGATTCAGAATCCAGAAGTCTTGGGTGGAGATAAAGCTGTATCACATTTACTCATCTACTCGCTGTGCATGCAGCATAAACATTAGCTCAGCACAGTTAAATGGTGGTTCTTATGTAACAAAATAGTCCCCATGAGACTGACGGGATATGAGGAGTGTTGTGAAAAGTCACCATCTGACCTTTGTTCTGGATTTCATCCTCTGCTGGCCAACGTTTTCTCCAATCAATCAATTCAAATTATATACAGTGTCCTAAAATGGGGAGAACACTCAAAGAAATTTACAACCAGGCAAGTGAATGGTATAAAATAAGCTCTATGTTTATCAAAGACCATGCCGGGCTTCTTCACATCTAAACAAGGCCTTCTGGTGAGTTTTGTTGTTTTGGAGATGTCGGCATTTTTTTAAATCCATACAGAAAAATGTAATCCTTAAAATGAAAATCTCCAAACAACAATCTATGAAGTGTTTACTCATTGGACAGGCTTTCAAAACACAACATTGGAATAACTGTTTAATGAAACCTGCTTTTTCAAATCTGCTGTTTCCACAGTTAATGTTTCCTTTTTGTAGAGCATTTAAAGAAGGAAACTGTGCCTACTTCTTTTTATAACCAAGTCCATTAAAAACTATGAAAACAATCTGTGGGCCAACTAGAGCTGAGTTTATGGAGACAGAAACACAGAAGAAGACAGCAAGGTAACTAAATAGACATCTTTTTGTCTTCCACACTCAGACAAATAATCAAACTAACTAACATCCCTGCTTTTGAGTACAAACTCTATGGTTGTTCAAGATGCAATACGTCTTACAACATGCTGCTGATTTTATTTATTGTTTCATCAGAAAAGACACTGCAAACTGCTCAGATTCAAATAATTTATTTTACCCAGAAAAACAAAAATTTTTTTTTTTTAAAAAGTTAAAGAGAATTCTTTGTATTTCCTCTCATAGTATGACAATCACATATTTAATATTGCATACATCTACTGCATACATCACCTAAACATCCAGAGCAGCACAGGTGGTGTCACGGTAAAAAGCAATGTGATCTATCTGCTATTCACACTGTGTGTGTTGGTGCAAAGAAGCAAACTGTGCACAGTGAAACACTGTGTGGCATAAATATACTTGAAAACAAATATTGACATCGGCATTACTTTCCTTAGCATTTTAGATAAGTGGAATATAAACATTTAACAAATGGGTTTTAACCAATGTGAAGTGTCTGTCAACAACCATAGCTCCTCTTGTGCAAGCCCACAGTGCATAAACATAAGCAGGATGATGTGTGAACAGATAATGAATAAAAACACAATTTATTCTCAGATGAGAAATTAGAATTGCTGACAGATTATACAGGTTAATACTGAACACTTAAAATGTCCTGATATCTGCTACATTTTAGTGCGCTATAACCATGTCGCAATGTTTATATAAGGTTTATAAAGTGCTGCCACAAAGTATCCCAAAGGTCAACTGAGCAGAATTTATCCTCATAACAGAAGTTGCTACAGTCTAGTTTCCATCCAAACACTGCACACATTTGAACATATTTCAGAAAATCATTAAGCTCAAAGCAAACTTCTATGCATATCTGTTTCCATATGTATGTGTGACTGCATGAAGGTGGATACTTGAGTATAAGTAGCTGATGATGTTAAATTTATTGCCGGGTGTTATCACAACCACTGCAGAACAACAGTGTGCAAATTATATATTACAAAAGATCACCAGCAAAATTAGTAGCACTGCCAAAGAATGCAGAAAAAATGAAATTATATTTATATTTGTTTCATATATTAATTTAACTAATGCTCCCCCCCCGCCATTAGTTCTCACATACATACTGTATGCTTCTATCTGACATGCTTCATGCACGATTAATGTATAAAAAGCTAGTTTCACTTGCACTTTGCCACATTTCACTGTTATCAATACACACATATTTTTTTGAACTTTAAAAGTATTTTTTCTTCTTTTTTTCTGAACTTACACCTCAGATTTTATATCCAAAATGGTCAAAAAATGCAGGTGGATGGAAATATCTTTAAGTCTTTTGACTTACTCATACAATGATTGTCGATAAACCAAAGATGCGTGGATTACCACGTTAGCAGATGACAGCCTTCAGACAAAGATTTTGAGAGTTGTCAACATCAATCTGCAAAAATCTACAAGGAGAGTCTGTTGTGCAGGTGAGGTCAGACCGAGTCCATTAAACAGACTATTCTGTCCTATCTCTGCAAACTGCTGGAAATCAGGTCCCATTTGGAGGAACACAGTTAAACAGTCAGAGGCTACACTTTAATTTATCGCTGCAAATATGCTGAGACATGGTGCTTTACATCAGCAGTGCAATGGTCATGAGAGTCTGTGTACTTGAGATGCAACCTTTCTGGAGTTCATGAAGTCTTTTCAAGATCGCAGGCACTGATTATCACATAAAACTGAACTGAAGAGCTGGAATTAAACCCAGTTTTTCAGCACACTAAAGTTTCTAAACTAAACTAAAGTTTCTAATACGCTTCGTATTACATTTCCTTTTTTGTTTGTTGTTCTCCAACAACCCTGTCCGCCTCACCTCTCAGCTGCTCCAAATCGTCCTCTGAGCTGTGCCGCACCCCCCTTGAGAAAATCTTGCGACGTGACTGGGAGCTAAGGTCCAGCAGATCAAAGGAATCGGAGGAGAATAGGCTATCCTCACTCACAACACTAGAGGGGCGGCTATGACGGCCCTCGGCATCCCCTGCAGTCTGGAGGAGATGCTGCAGAGCCTCTGGGAATATCGCAGGAGTTGGAGAGGGAGACGACTGGTGGTTGTCAGGAAGATCCAGGCTGCGAGAAAACTTTCCATTACGTTTCAAAATACCCTTACGTCTTCTTACTGCTTCTGTGCGCATTGTGGGACTGCCTTCAACTCCAGGGAGACATGTTTGTTGTTTGTGGGAACAGGACTCACCTGCATTACTGTCTGTACTTCCTACACCTGAGCCCCTTCTGTCTGATGAGGAACCATAACCTGACTCCCCACCATACAAGTTCTTTAGTATCCCTTTCTTGGGCATTTTGGACGACGGCTGACTGAATGTAGTTGGAGACAGAAGGCTGGTTGATAGGACGTCAACATACGCATGAGTAAGACTGTGTGTTCGACAGGGCTGCGGTGCAGTGTTACAGAGCTGAGAGGGGGAGTTATCCCTGGGAGGGGTGTGAAAGACTGAATCTAAACTTCTCTGGTGTTTCAGAATACCTTTGGGTTTTTTTCTTTCAAAAGTGGAAGTGGAGGAAATCACCACGGAAGAAGCAGTTGCTAAACAAACGTCACTGCAAGCTCCCTGTGCAGTCTGGGGAATCGCATTCTCCTTGCGAGACTTCCTAAGACTCGATATTCCACCGCGCACCCTTGCACCTCCCCCACATTCGTGCTTTAGAGGTAAGCTGAAGTAAAAGGGGTTGGAAGCGTGTTGAGGAAGACCGGAAGAGTCTGAGGACAGGCAGTCTGCATCCACCGTCAAACTGCTAGCAGCAGCAACCTGATTCTGCCAGTCGATGTAGCGAGCCAGCAGCGGGGAGGGGCACTCTTGGTGTGGAAATGAAGGGCAGTCACACACACTCTCTTCATATCCCCAGTTCACCCACCAATGGTTAGCCACGTCCTCTATCGTGGCTCTCTCATCCACACGCACCGTCAGCAACCAGCTGATGAGAGCACAGGCGTCTGGAGGGGACAGAGTCAACAGTTATTTATGGACACTACGCTGACAAACCAGATCCCATTTGACAGCTTTAAAAATATATATAAAAAATAAAGTTATGAAGCTTTACCAGAGGGGGGGTTGGGTCTGCGATAGCAACCTTGGCTGATCTGCTCTGTGAGTTTTGTGTGACTGGCCCCATCGAATGGCATGCTGCTGTAAACAAGGGCATACAGCAACACCCCCAGTGCCCAGCAGTCCACCTAAGACACATAAACACATACAGAATGAAATATTATATTCTTTTAAAGCATATTCATGAACAAAAGAAGATGTACTGTGGTTTAAAGCTACACTAATCCAGATATGAATTTTACACTGCTAAATTAGTGTAATTTAGCATTGCAATAATATAAATAACAATGTTGGATTCATGAAAGACACAAAAATGCAGCAGAACCAGCGACATCATAATTTTTTTACATTTTAAAGAGCTTTTTTTCATGCCAGCATCTGGTGCCTACAATACCCACAATGCAAGTTGTTAGTATTACCCAATGTACTAGAAAGCTGTTGTTTTAAAAGAAAACCAGCCACATGTGGTGACATTAAATGATGATGTAATCTCACCAAAAGCAGCCCTCCAGTCTTGCAGTAAACAAAACTGATTATTCTGTGAACATTTTAAAACAACCTAACATCCATAATGCTGGGAATTAACAGCATGTTGACCAACCTCTGGTCCCTGGTATGGCAGCCCTTTCACGATCTCTGGGGCAGCGTAGAGCGGACTTCCACAGTAGGTTTGCAGCAGTGTGCCCTTGTGGAAATTATTTGAGAGGCCAAAATCAGCCAGCTGCAAAAAAGAAAGAATGCAAATTAACATATTTTGTTTATAATTATTTTTATTTCTTCCTACTGCTGACACTATTCAAAGCTTTCACAGCTGCTGGATGTGTCTGCGCTCATTTTCAAGTGGCGAAACAAACTAACAGCTGTCACATTACAAGACAAGAGATCTCAGTCCAGATGTCTCTACACAGACTCAAAACACTGATATCTCAAACTTTATGTCACAGTGAACTAATCAGTTCACACTGAATCCTGCACTGAGTTTCATTCACTTTAGCACTCGCCCTCACGCAATCTAAATTCCTTTTCAGTGACTATGTACGGAAAGCTTTTAGTCATGTGGAAAAGAAAATACACAATAACTCAAAAGCAATTCCTTTTAAAGGAGCCAAAAATACTGCAGGTATGCTGAGCTTTTGCCAGAGTAAGTGTGAGCGAGGAAAAGGGGAGCGGGCCAAAAGCATCAGGCTGCTTACGCCCACGTAACGGAACAATCACTCACTCGAGGCTCCGAAAGCCATACGCAGACATACTGTGTCTCTCCTCTATCTGCGAAGATTATAAACATGCATGCTGGCTCACTATCAGCCCTTGTGGTGTTAAAAATATTCTCAATGACAGCTTCACTTCCATGGTAGAGAGATACGGGGAAACAAAGACCTCATTGAAGAAGACAACACTGTAAATGCAAGCCAGCTCACTGTTCATATATATCCAGTGGCAATTATCACATTTCTTTGGACTCCCATATGTTTGCATGCATTCAGCCTATAGTGAGACAGTTCTTCATGAAGCTGGAAGAGTGAATGAATGAATACCAAATGCTAACAAAAACAAAGTCAAACACAAAGTTACACTCTACAGACTAATATTCTACTTTAAACTTGACATGACCTAATCCGCCTCTCTCTGCCCCATACAGATGCCATTAAGCAGCTATTGTGCAGACATAACAACGCATTGCACAGAGCCTCGGTCATTTCCTGCAGCAGATGCCGAGAAAGGCCGGTGCGGTGAACCTCCGGTGATGTGGTTGGCAGCGAATGAAGACCCGCAGAGAAGTCTGCACATAGCGTTTTCTTTTGACAGACAGAGCACACATACGTAAACCCCCTGACTGGCATGAATCCTCAAGATTGTCGCTAAATTCCCAGCATTCCCTGCTGACCATGCACAGCTCTGATATAGGGAGAACAATGCCCAAATAAGGCAAGAAATATTCCCTGGGTTCTTTTGTAAGGCCTTACATTGTGTTTTTTCACATTCACTGTGCATTGCTGAACAACACATTGAAATTCCTCTGGGTAGAAAATGCTCCAACATATATCCTGAAAGTACACTGTGTTTGCATTTTAAGTTGGAGGCGGCAAAACAATCCACGTAGCATGGATCAGATGATAATGGGAAACTATGAATTATGTATTATTAAATGCTCAGGAAATGTGGCAAGATGGCTCAGTTAGTGCACAGTATTTTCTTAGGATCCTACCTTTACATTCAAGTCTTGGTCCAAAAGAATGTTCTCCAGCTTGAGGTCTCGATGCACAACCCCGTTCTGCAAGACAGGAGAAACACACGTGAGGTCCTGCTCTTGGAGAGTCTGAAGGAAGATCATCAGACTGTTTAATTATTCTCAAGCATGAGAAGGTGCTCTGTTTTTTCATTGGATGACGGTTTGAGCCGCCGACTGGCATTAAGTACAAGTGTGCAAGGAAAAGGCAGATGACTCAAAATCTACACTATTTGTAGCAAAATAAATTGCATATGTAGTACCTCATTAGGTGTGGTCACCCAGGAAATTATGTGACACTTTAAACATTCATGTCAGTTCATCTTAAACAAACTTTATTTCATTTATTAAATTCTCTTCTGAGCACTTATGTGAAGGAAATGGCAAATGACCTCAGACAGTGCTTTCTGTGCTACATGTAACTGCACTGCAAGCACGGCAGACACACATATGGTTAGATGTGGTTTATCAAGTCAATATTCTTACTATCGTTTAAAATGCCTGTGAACGGAGCAGTGAATGGCCCTCGATTATTTCCATTTTTCTCGTGAAGCCTTGCTCGTCTTTCCATGTGCACCGCATACCTCTGAGGCACATTCAATAATTCATTCACTCTGGAACATTCATGTCTATTTTGGGACAATATTCAAGGGCACGAGGAGCCCAAATTCCATCACCCTGCACACCACAGAGACGCAGAAGCTGAATGATAAGTTTAACGTAAGCAGATTCACACAGAGTCCAAACTGCCAAAATAAGAAAAGCAAAACAACCGCCTTTTTTTTTTTCATGTCCAGCTCAGCTGACAGTCAGGCAGATATCCTAAGTTCCACTGTAATGCACTTCTGTTTAAACAGGACTTAATAACTCCTCGATAATTCCTGCTTTCTGGCCTGATTTTATGTACACAACAATAAATCAGAGAAACAAAGAAGTGTTTGTTTCTATGCCAAGGCTTACAGTAATGTTGAAGGAGGCTCATTTAGCGTTTGTTAAATGTGTCAGTGTGTGACTGTAAAGAACAATCAAGCCTTATAATGCGCTCTTAACCCAAAGAGATCTGAAAACTCAAGTCAAGTTTTTCTGCAGTAATAGGATTAGGATTTATTGGTTTAAGCGGTACAGTATTTGCATGTGTGCACACGTGCCTGTGTGCAATTTGCTAACTTGTAATGTATTCCTCTGTTGGGCACCTGCAGAACACATGTGGGTAGGTTGTTTGGTGTGTATAAACCTTATGGCTGTAGTGGACAGCAGATGTAATCTGTCTGAAGATGCTGCGGGCTTCTGTTTCTGGCAGTCGCCTCCTCTCCTGTATGTAATCATACAGCTCTCCTCTGCTGGCGTACTCCATCACAATCACAATCTTATCCCGGCTCTCAAACACTGTCAACACAGGAAAACAGAAACCTTTAATGATGTTTTGGCTGTGTAGATTTTCAACTCCTGTGTAATCCATGTATGCAAATGCTTATTGATTTCAATAAATCTTCATAGAAACAGAAATATCTGCAGTTTCTGTCATTTGTATAACTTTAAAAGAGTCTCACCTGATGAATGGCTACCAATCGAAATGATATACTTAAGTATAGTGACAGGTGTGGGGCTAACTGGGATTTTTTATCTTATTGATGGACTATAACATCCTCCTCATTTGTTCTATTGAACAACAATACCCATCCAACAATAAATGGGAGACCTTTAGTGAAAAAGGGTAAAAATCTTCTATTTTTATTGTTAAGTAACACTACGAGATGATGAAACAAGATACCAAAGACCATCTCTCAAGGCTGTTTTAGAAGTTTTACAATTCTTTTCAATCATATTGTTTCATTTCTGGGTGCTGTAGCTTTTAGCAAATCATTCTGGGGAGATTACTTCTTGCTGCAGTGAGTATTTTGGTGGTTTAGCCTGAATTGACCCAGAGTGGTATTTGTAGTAGTTTTGGGATATTTTTCCCAAATTAGTGCATCAGTGGTATGATTTTAAGTTAAGTATTTGACAACAATGCAAGTTTATGGAACGGAGTAAGAAGCCATGTGTACGATTCTTTGTGCAAATAGGAAATACTTAGTTGGGTCGTGTCATTGTTGGTTTTGGGTTTCAAATAGGATTTGTGAGCATTACCAGCGTTATCCCTTAGCCCCTGGCATTGTTGAACAACACTGCTGTAAATGCTGCTGTGTGTGTTGTGGAACTTAATATCTTTCGACTGACTTTCTTTAAAATATTCACTGCCTAAACGCTAGCTGGATACCAAACTATGAAATTGTCTGATTACGTGGGAAGGTGTGTCAGTGTCATCTTACCCTCATGGAAGCGTATGATGTTGGGGTGCCTGAGTGAAGATGTGATCTCAATCTCTCTCTGGATGTGAATTCTGTCCAGGTCATCGGTGATGCGCTCCTTGCGGATTGACTTGATCGCCACCTTGGAAGGAAGACAAAGTTTAGAGGATGTTATACAAAAAAGGTTGTGTCCAAATTTCACACACCATGTGTTAAATCTAGTGACTGAGTAATAAAACTTGAGCCAGTAGATTTAATTTCCATAAATTCCTCAGAAAACACACAAATTTAACCATTTTCTGCTTTACCTCCATCAAAGCAACAAATAAATAAACAGTTCATGCATCATCTGCACAGCCAAACATGGAAACAAAGGCATACTGTACATACTGTTGATGCTTAAAAACACACATGCTCATACACAAATAAAATCTTTGGGTATTAGACATGATTATGTGGGTTTAAAGGCTGCATGGTGAGAGCAGATCTCGTGATGTGAGATGTTCAGAGGCAGAAGGTTGACAGCTGCAGTGTTCGCACTCTGCTTCTTTAATCCTATACACCGGTGCAACCCGAAGCTTCTGAACACACACACGTAGGCCCGCAATAAAAACGTACATCCTAAAACAAACCTCTAAAACTGGTTGGATAGAATAAGTGTCACATAATCAAGACTTTACAAAGACGAGACAAGTGCATGCAGGCAGACAACGAGGCATCGGAGTGTGCCTAAAATACACAAAGGACAACAGAGACGTGGAATATAACAAGTAGCTGAAGCCGTGGGACTAATTTGTGAGGCTGATATTTAAACATGGGACGAAACATGCGCTGTATAATTTTGCATGTCCCTGTGGGTGAGCTCCCACAGGTCAAAACTCGAGTTTTCTCAGCTGGCGAGGGAAAAAAAATGTCTCCGAAAAACTGGAAGAGACACAGTTCGCACGCTCCATCAACCATGATAGTTATGCAACACAACATGAACACCATCCAGGGAACCCCTGAGACTGAAGTGACCTTCTGATTTATGAGGTCATCAGCTGAAGGGCAGATATTAAAAAGTTGGGGAGGAAGTTCTGATACTCACTAAAGAGCCATTTATGACCCAAATACTTAAAGCAATGTGAGGAAGAGAAGGGGAGACTGTAAAATCAGTTACTGGGATGATTTAGTGCAATATAACAGATAAAAGTTATGGATTAGACACGTCAAGATATAGACTGGGAGTCAAAAAATTCTACTGCCGTCTCAGCTCTAATTTACTACCAAGACTTTGAAGTGACACATGACACAGGGAATACAGACCCTCTGGGTATGGTTCAGGGCAAAGTGAGCATTTTATCTGACTGATTTCAAGGGGCCATGTGTGAGTAGAGGAAGCTGTGGTTGTTTGTGTTTGTGTGATCTCACCCTTATGCATGCAAATATCCTGCGGATGCATCACGCAGAGATATGACCTCTAAAGTATCCTTCTCACCAACAACATCTCATTGTTTCCTCTAAAAACTGCAACCTCACATGTGTAGGAAACACAACGCAGCATGTGGGAGTCATTCAGGCGTTCTCTGACATCATCACGGCCTATATTATGATGGCATGGCAATTTTAGATGTGCAAAGGGATGTACTGGCTTTCCCATCCCCTTCTTGTTTTCCTGCTGACTCCAGTCTTGACTTAATGCAGGTGTGTTTGTCTGTATGAAGTCATCATGGGGGTTGGGGTGTGCATCAACTTCCTTCCTACCCTGCTATTCTCACAAACACACAAATGTATCCCAGGAGCCTGAGCAGCACTAAAGGTCCCTGCTGCATCTGTGAACGATTTAGCGGCAGGATTATACAGGCTTCCTGCCAGAGTGACCCTTGACCTCCAATCATCTACACACAGCCTTAAGCCGTCCCTTTCCTTAACCAGGAATTGCAGAACTGATGGGAAACTGGGCAAAGACATATACATTAAATGCAAGAAAGGAAACAAGAATTTTTTTTCTGATAGCATTATCTGATTGCTTCGATTCCTTTTTTTTTTTCTTGCCTACGATATTTAAGCTTTAAAAACAAGTGAGGCTCCCAACCAGGGTAAGTGACCACAGAATACTTAGCTTGCATAACCAAGGCTGGTTATTCATCTTTCCTTTTGCTTTACCCTGTGCATTCATGAGGATGACTTACATTCCTTTCTTGCAGCGTCACAGGAAAACCACTTTACAGGAACAAGTCTCAAGTGAGCTCCTTAATATAAAATCACTGATAGTGCCTTCTCTTCCTGCTCTTCTTCCTGCTTTCCTCTCCCATCTCCCCAAGCTCACAAAACAGCCCACTAGCCTTGTTTCCAAAAATAATGCCTGTTTTGTTTCAAAGAATCCTTGGTATGTGCCTGCTAATGGCTCAAGGAATTCAGCTTTTCCCCCTTGTCCTACCAAACCCACTCACACACACACACACACACACACTACATGGCCTTGTTCCTCTCTCTATCCTACCAGCAGTCTCTTATACATGCTTCACTACATGTTAAGATTTAGAATAGAATTGAATTGTACACAACAGAAAACAAGTTGCAAAGTGCTTGAAAGTCGTGCAAAGAAATGGTCTGGTATGAATAGAGTCCGTGTGTGAGTGGCATGAGTGATGAGGGTAACTCAGGCCATGGCTCAGATTAGTGAGGTGATTGGGCAGGGGTGGGGGGTGGGGAGATAGTGTTTTTTGACAGTCTGAATGTCCCAGGGGAAGAAGGTGTTTTTGAGTCTGAAGGTGTGGGACCTGATTGACCTGAGGCGCCAACCAGAAGGCACCAGGTCATACAGGTGGTTGGCGCGGTGCAAAGGGTCGCCTGTGATGGCCCTGGTTTTCCTGAGATAGGAGGATCTGGCGATGGCTTCCAAGGGTGGTAGAGGGCAGTGACTGATGTTTTGGGTGATGTTAATTATGCTCTGCACAGGACACAGAGGAAATGAAGCTGCTGTTGGGCCTTCTTTACCAGGGTGTTGTGGCTCCAGGTGAGATCCATGGAGATGTGGGTGATTCTACAGATTCCACCCATTCTGCATTTATAATGAGTGGGGAGTAGACCTATCTGTGCTTCATGAAGTCCATTATGAGTTCTTTTGTTTTAAGGGAGTTAAGCTTCAGGTTATTTTCTGAGCACCGTCAGGACATCATTGGCATACGTGTTGATGTCATTAGTTGGCTGGGTTGGTGTGCAGTCATAGGTGTACAAGGTGTACAATAGAGGACTGACAATGATTTGCTCTGTAAGCAAACTGGTGGGGGTTGAGGGAAGGGGGGTAGGCAATCTCTGATATGCTGAGACATTTTCTAGTTGGTGAGGGCTACGACGTCTCCACACCTGGCGGGGGTTACTATCAGTGAGGAGATCTGGCAATCACAGTTGAAGGAGCCAGACAAATTGTGAGAAACTCACTCTAATCAGGATCATCTTTTTTGTCGCAATCAGATTATGGAACAGTGTTTATTTACTAAAATAAACCAGAAAGGAAATTGATGAGACCCCCGTCCTCTCAGATCACAGCACAGAGGGAGGGATTAAGGTCTGACCAGACATAAACCCACGATTATTCAAACTAATCTGGCACCACATTCTGTTTTAACCTAGATATTCAGATTGTGAAGTTAAATAGAAACTTGTTATGGTATTATGTCTCGCTCTCTCTGTGTGTGTGCTTAAGTCTGGGTTTTTAGGGGTCAGACTCTAGTTGGAGCAGACCTATTGTAGTGATTTTATCCCCTTTTTCAATTGCTGAGTGAGTCAGACCAAAGGCATCTCAAGCTGGCAGCACAAGAAATGGGTTCAGGATCAATGCATACCCTACCACACGCAGAGCGCCCCCCACGAAGTTCTTTCCACCTTCAAATTAATATTTAATTACCACTGAGCAACACTGTGGCAAGTGCAGCACGCAAGCACAGACGCATGAAGACACAGGCAAAAAGTAAAAGCATGGGAATCACATTACACTTTTTATAGGCTTTTTACAGGGTCAGCAGACGAGATTAAGAGGTCAGATCAATTTCAGAAACTGATAATTGATCGTTTCCTTTCACCACATTTCGCCCTTTGTTTAGGAAATAACGAGTCCTTCAGTGACACAGCTCCGAAAAGCTTGAGGCAGTATGATATGATGGGTTATGGTGACCATCTTACCGTCTTCAGGCTCGCTCTCTCCACCGCTTTCTTCACTTTGCCGTAGGTGCCTTTCCCCAGCGTCTCCATCACCTCATAACGGTGCTTTAAGTTGTGCTTGTGCTGATGCTTTTTTACTTCCATGGACGCTGTGGCTGTGGATGCCTGGCCCAGCGCCTCCACGCCTACTTGCATGTTTCTCTGTCGCTTCTCCGCGTTGCAGGCACGGCGGCTGTCCATTCTCGGTGACTGCTCGCCGCCATGCTGGCTGCTGGATGCCGCGTCCTGCAGGCAGCCCAGCTCGGAGCGTCCGCTAGTGTTCATTGCGCCTCTGCTGTCCGCCTCACGTCTGCCCATCGTCTCTGCGCACTTTGCGCACCTGTCAGGAGCAGCTTTCCTCGGGACCGGATCCCCAAATCACTTTGAGTTTTGATAAAAAGCAGCTGGAGCTCTTTTTAGTGATCGGGTTGTCCATATAGAGTCTCACACGTTTAAAGGAGGCTTCTGTAATGGTCTGAAAATTAAGAAATACCCCAAAGCCGTCTGATCTATCGGCCCAGCTGTTGTTTTCTACTACCACTCTCAGTCTCAGGAACACAGCAACAGGAGCGACGGGAACCACACGCTCCGAGGCGAGGGGTGGAGCCTCCACAAGGCAACATCCCCGAGCGTCACACTCGTTTGGGATTAATTTGGTTTTTTCCAGCGAATACTTGACCTACCCAGCGGCAGAAACACGGGGGAAGAAGGCATGCGGGGAATGTCCTGCGGGTCAGATTTACCCTAAATCCATCACTTCAATCAGACATTTGTGGTGATGCTGTGCCATGCGGCGAGCTTTGAAGACTCTAAGGAAGTTGGCAGAGACTTTGCAGTCAGAGAAAGGGGATTTTATTCTTTTATTTAAAACGTACATTTTAAACAGTAAAACAAAGAAACAAAAAACTGTTAAAGATAAAGTAACCTCGGTTAAACCTCATGAAATAAGACAGCAGAAGCCAAGGACAGTGAGAGATACATGCTCTGTGGCTGTGTTGTGTGCAGAGTACAACTAACAAGTTAAGGATGGTTTAGCTGTCAGCAGTTATTAAACCAGTATCTGCACTGTATCTGCCAAATTTCCCTAGCAGAACTTAACACCAGGTAATGTGTGGCCCTTAATTTAAAACACAGCCAGAGAGAGTGAAGCAGCAGCAGCAGGTCCCACTCCAGATTATGTGACACAAGGTGAGTTTAAAAAAGTGGAAACTACAAGTTATTCCAAATAATCATTAGTGTCAGTAGCAGTTTCAGCTGACAGGACTGAGCTTTATCGTATGCTGGACGAGGAGTTCACAGCTACAAGATATTTTGAGGAAAGCAATGTGTTTGAAACTGAAGATATAGCATTTTAAAATACCACAGTGGCTCTCTGACTAAATCACCCAGAAAATCTGCAAGACGATTAGACTGCTGTACATGACGTCTCTGGCTTTTGTGGTTGGTAACATCAAAAGAACACTAACAGAAAGTGGGCTTAAAAGTAGGGCAGGAGTTAAAATGAGGTTTACTGTTCTTTGTGGATTTTTGGAAATTGTTAAACTTATTCATCCTCGGCTGACTCCTTCGTTGGGTTACCCCCCACAAGCATATTGTACTGGTTCAAATACTTCTTTCTCATTTGTTTCTCTACTGTTGTTAAAATTTGATGACACATAAAGTCATATTTTTGGAGCTTTGTGCAAACTTTTAAGCACAGTGACTTAATCACAGCAACATTTGTAATGACAGTTACATACTGGAATTCAGTGCATGCAGCATACAATAAGGCAATGCCAAAGAAACAGTTTTAAACTTGTGTTTGAAGGTTGGAGATCAAAAGACATGCTGCTGAGGCATGAGCCTGCATCTCTGAAACATCAGTGACATTTTTGCATGAAAACAACATTTCAGTTGAATGCAAAAGTTTAAACAACGAAATGCTTAAATAAATATATTTCAAGTGTAAGCCAGAAGTATGTGGCCACATGTTGAACATGCTGGCTTTTTTCCTTGTTGTAGTGTTAAGAATAGATTTGTGATGAGATCACAATCCATTGTTTCCACTGGAAACAAATAGATGTGAGTGAACAGTGACATCTAGTGGTCAGTTTTAAAATAATCTTTATAATTAATTTAATAAATGAAAATTCTCTAATTCACAAGTTTCCTTGATTATACATTTTTAAATGAATATTATATTTGGTATTCTGCATCACCTTCAAAGCCCAGCCACAGCAGTCAAACGGTGTACGCTTGGAGTTTGTCCCTGAAGCCATCCTCGCTTTCATAAGTGATAAATGGGATTAAAAAGGTAACATTATGCACATTAATTTAAAGGCAGCTAAGTTACACAGTGTAAGATATATGCACTGGGGGAGTCTCCTGGGATTCAACAGTTATTGCACTCAATCATTGAGATACTGAAGTTAATGAAGAATAAATGTCAATAAAACATGAATTTCATGTTTCTGTGTTTGAAGACCTAAAAATTAGATTTAGCCTGAAATTTAAAACTGAAATAAATACTTGCACTTTCCAATAATCCCACTTGCAGTTGATCATGGAATATTTAGTAAGAAACAAAGGAAACGCTCTGATCTGATCTTTTTTCTTTTTCTTTTTTTTTAGGAGTGACTGTTTAGTTTAAATTGAGTTTATACGTATGAAACATTTGCTTTTTGGGTGATATTTGTTGCATTTCTGAGATGTTTTGAACTTGCATGGCTGCTGCCTTGGTCAGTTCTCTTTTGTAATATATACCACAGGGTTTTCCATAGCAGGAACACAAATCCTGTGGGCTTTAAAAGAAACAGTGAAACCAGTTCCTGCTGAAGTAAGGCGTCAGTGGTATTAATGAGATCAAATTCAGTCTCCTTGTCAGTATAGCTCTGAGTAAACTGGGACAGAAATGCCTATGAGCCTGCTGAGTAATGCTATCAGAGTTCACTTTATATCAGAACTGCCAAATAAGAGATCATTATGGCAGCTGATGCAGGTGCAGGTTCTCTCTCATTCTGATTAGGAGAAATAAAGTTATAAATGAAATGAAGTTATAAATGCCACTAAATGTTAAGGCATTCTTTGAAGACTCTTTTACTAAAGGTCTCTGAAGGAAAGCAGTACAAAATTATGTCTACCCGAAAAGACAACAGAAAAAGAAGTCACAGAGAGTAAGAAGACTGAAGAGAGGTTATTCTTTCCACAACACTGTGAGCTGTCAGTCGGGCTTCTGAATCACTGTCCCAGCAATCCTCCAGGAGCTCCCTCAGTGCAGCTCCCTGAGAACAATAAACATTCAGTCCACACATTACAGACACCACAGGTGTAAGTGGTACCACAAAGCTCCTATGCAATAATACCTGTGGTAGCAGTTCCCAGTGTTCAGGTATACAGGGTCTTTTGTCCATATAGGACACGTACAGCATGAGGCTCTCCAGTGTTACATTGCTTCCCAGCTCTAGTTCATATGGCAAAAGATGCTGTGGTGCAGCTCCGCCTGCAGGTGGAAGCAGTGCTATTAGTTTATTCTAGGCTTAGTGAATTGAAAATATGACTTGTCAGCCCAGAAACCAATGCATTAACTATCAGATTTCAAGCAACTGGGAAACCAGGCCAGCTGGAGCGCACTATTCACCAGTTTCTGATTCAGATCGGCTTTCCCCTTTCAGTGACACACCCACTGAAAAGCCAGTGTGGTAATTGATCTTTTCTGAGAGGAATGAAAGCTGGACACTCTAGCAACAGCCTGCAATTGTACTGTTGATAATGACAACCCATTACAATAATAGGCTCGCCTTAAAGCAGAGAAAACTGAACGACCTGCAGTTTTTTGTTTCTAAATTCAGACTACATTAAAAGTATCATATTTGACTCCAAACACATCAGAAACACACAGGTGTATGACATGACATTTATCATTTGCACTGCTGCACCATTATTGTTTGTTTGTTAATTTATTTCAAACGTGTAAACAATATACAGGCACACTTAGTAAAGAAAGTAAGAGAGAGAGAGAGAAAATACAATACAAAAGTCAATACATTTCAATATTGCTACCGTTCTGATTCATTTACATGTTGAAAGGGAGTGGGAAGAAGTACACACTTATTTAATCCCACCCCTTTCCATAAGTTATCAGTTAATATTTAGTCAGCTTCCTTACTGATATAATTTGTAATAAAAAATAGTGAACAGATTTCTGATATAATATATACTATATACTATAATATCACATCATGATTTTTTTTAAATAGAGACATTCACTTATTATCAATATTTTCCCTTTCTTTATAGTTCGAGAAGATCATATTTTTATAACTCTTTTTGAACTGTTTTCTGTTTGGACATTGCTTTAATTCCATATTCAAACTGTTCCACAGTTTCACTCCATGAACAGAAACACAAAAGCTTTTTCTTGTAGTACGTACCTTACATGTAAAATAAAGTTAATTTCTAGTCAAATAAAGCTGCACTTTACAGCTACACAATATACAGCAACCTTTTTACAGTTTGCCAAGCCGTTTAAGTGCTCTGAATAACTTTACCTTGGCCTTCTGTACTACTCTAAAGAGCCTTGGACTTATTTTTGAACATCATAACATCATATCATCTACTCATAATGACTAACCTTCAAATAAATCATAGCAGCACATCCAGATCTCCCACAGCAGCAGACCCAAAGCGTAAACGTCACCCTGCATGAGAAACATGCTTTCGTTCAGGTTCACAAAGCCTTCCAGGATCTCAGGAGCCATGTAGTGCAGCGTGCCCAGTTGAATACACTACAAAAATACAAATTTATCTATTAGAAATAACTAATAATATTGGATGTTTTCATTTCATGTAATTCTAGTGTGAAACTCTAATTACTTCAAAAAACAGCAGCAAGTCTAGGTCTTCAAGTATTTTTGTTTTGTTATTTAGATAAGAGGATTTGAGTGGATAAACAGTAGTACCTGTGTCTCACCTTCGTGTTTTTATTCTGGTTGTGCCTGCAGTAAGGCTCTGAACAAGAACGCAGAATGGTGGAGCATCCAAAATCACACAGGGCACAGGTACCATCCGCCTTCACCAGCACGTTGGAGCTGCTGAGGTCTCTGTGGGCCACAGGAGGTTTGTGCAAATCTGTATGAAAAATCCAATAAACAATATTTTGTTCCCGTAGCTTACTCTCACATACCAAGACAGCCTCACATAAACAGCTTATCATTATTTAAGATTTGTGGCCACATTAGATGAATCACTGCAGTAGATCCATTGTTTGGATAAAAACAACTCATCTTTATTCTTGATGATAATAGTTTAAAAACATGCACTCTATGCTTCCCACATCAAACAGATAACCCATGCACACATGCATTTGTTGCAATATTATTCTGGCCAGTACCATGGCTGAGAAGGTCAGAGTGGAGATAGGAAAGTCCCTGTGATAGCGACTGGCACAGGTTCAGTGAGAACATCCAGCTCGTGGTTTGTTTTGACAAAAAGGAATGAAGAGATCCCTGAAATCAAAGGGATAATAGTCATTCGTACCTGAAGCATACAGTGGTTTCAAATACATAAAGCGCTATAGACTTAAAGCCAAGGAAC